CACTACTGTAAATTTCATGCTTTTATGCAATTGTCAGTAGCTGTAGTGTGAAAATGGGAACCTTTATTCCCCCAGGCAAGACTAAGATAAAAAAAAATATATAGATGGTGCGTGCACACCATGCATACATCAACCAATCTCACCTGGAGGGGAGAAAAGCACCCATCTGGCCAACATCAAATAGAGCCTTAAACACACAATTATGAGGTGGTGGTATAAGTGTGTATTTATGGCTTTATTGGATCTTGGCCAGATGGGTGTATTTTTTTCTCCATCCAAGTGAGATTGGTTATTATCAACAAAATATTCATTTACATCAATTCACTTGATTGCCAAAAGGAGTTGAGAAGGTTAATGATTCGCAGGCATTACAGGGTTTCTTTTAGACAATAATTCAGTGTTATAAACTGAGATTCAAAAATGAGATAAATGTTATATTTTCATAAAAGTTCAAATTCAGAGTTAATACCCCTAATTTTGTGACAAACTTTCACAAACAAATATAGAAAAGATATAATTGTATATCATTTGTAGATTTGTAGAATTTTCTCCTCTCTGCTTTTATTACTTTTTCTTCTCTTTCTAGCTTTTCTTCTTTTTCTTTCTTCTTAGTTTTTCTTTTGTTCAGATCCCAGGACTAGCCAATATTTACCTTGTGAATGTCAAAACCATTCTGCTTTCTTTACCAAAGTTCAGCTCCCAGCAACTGTCAACAACTTTTGCTTGTGAAAGCTAAATCCCTCCTGTCTGTCTGACAAACCAGACTTCTTAAATAGCTTCTCTGAATTCAGTCAGAAATATAATACTATGGAGTCAACTTACTCTCCCAATTGGTTAAAAAATCACAAAATGTATCTCTTTAAACTATGTCTGTTTGTAAACTTTATTTAGGCAGGTTTTGAAACCATAAGACTTGAGCCTCATTTTTTATAAATTTTTGAAAAACAGATTTTATACATGTACCTTTTTTATTATAAACTGTCAGGATTAATTTTGCCAGTTTTTTTACAACATCAGTTTGATTCTCACATAATACAAAGTTTTACACATCATATTTTATTCAAGCTATTTTTACTAACGGTCTCTCTTCATTATAGCAGTTTTTTTTTTTTATTTAAAGATGTGTTAGTAACTTTCTTCTTTTAATAAACGCTTTTTAAATCCTTCCCTCAAAAGAAAGTGTAATAAACAAACATAGTTTATTATACATTTGTTTTTTTATTTTTTAATTATTTTTATATAATTTTACATTTCTTTTTTATTTTATAAATTTGTATAGTTTTTAATCAGTAAATAACATTTTAAAAACTAATCTTTAATAATTTAAAATTAATTTAGTAATAACTAGCAGTAGAGCCCGGGGATGTAACAGTAAGAGATAGATCAAGTATCGACCATCATAAAGACTGAAAAATAAAATTGACAAAGATTATTGTTTAAGGTTGATGGATTGATGGACACGCATGTCTTAATTAGTTTTTTTTTTTTTGTTTTATTTTACAAATTGGTCAAACCCAAACTCAAACAAAAACATTGTTTTCAATCGTTATGGATCTACCAATTGAATAGAATTTTATTATAAACAATTGTCTTGTAAATGGAATTTTTAAAGCATTCTGTATTTAAAAATAAAGAAAAAAGTGTGCAAGACAATAAGAAACACTACCTGCCAAAAAAAAAAAAAAATAAAGTGAAGTTTTGTTGAAATCGGTTGAAAAATGTAGGAAATCCGATCCCATATATAAAGGAACACACACACACACACACACAAACAACCTGGGTTTTATAATAAGTATAACTCGATATGAGTTGTCCCCCTTTCATTCTCGTGATGCCTCTTAATCATGTTTTCAAATTGATTTTGTGCAAAAGCAATTGTTTTTCCAATTTTTGGCGCTGTTAGAACCACCGCAAGGTAATTTTACGTAGTCCTGTGAAGTTTTATTGAAATCGGTTGAAAAATGTAGGAAATCCGATCCAATATATAAACGTACAGACACACACACACACAATCTGCATTTTATAATAAGTAAGATGATCTAACAAATCATATTCATTTAGTAGCCTTTCTGTAATCTTTTACAATTTATGATTTTTACTTATTGAATACAGTAAAAAATTGCATATTTTGCTTGTGGTGATTCATAATTAGAATTCTGATTTGAATATATTTTCTACTCGTTTCTAATACAAAAAATATTAACTTTATTTGGGTTTATTAATTATGATCTAACGAATCGTATTTATTTAGTAGCCTTTCTGTAATCTTTTACAATTTATGATTTTTACTTATTGAATACAGTAAAAAATTAGACACCATGTGTATTTAAAGTAGTTTCTGGTTATTATTTTTAGTTAGGAGGGCTTGTGTATGTTTAGATTTCATGTATCATTCTCTGAAAAAAAAAACGCTGAGTCACTGGAAGTTAACGGCATTCGGACGTTTGAGTAGCTGGCAGTAACTTCTGACCGGGTGCGATACACTTAACCGTGCTTTCAAGTTGATTTCATGCAAAAACAATTGTGTTTTTCCAATATTTGGCGCTGTTAGAACCACCGCAATGTAATTTTATGTAGTCCTGTGAAGTTTTGTTGAAATCGGTTGAAGAATGTAGGAAATCCGATCCAATATATAAACGTACAGACACACACACACACACACAATCTGCGTTTTATAATAAGTAAGATGTTGGTTAGTTACATACATGATGATAATCAATAAAATGTAAAATATTAATTTCTTATAACTGATTGATTTTTCCTTCTAAAAAAATAAATATTTGAAGGACACATGTACCAATCATATTAGTCAGTGTATTTTTGGTTCAAGAATAAAAGAATCAGACTTACCCTCAGTGCCTTTATCCTTGTCTAGAACATGGAAGTAACCTACCTTTGTCCAGCCATTTTATTAAATTTATCAAATCATTTGATTAGTTATCATAACTTTCTGCTTGCTTACCCACAATCTGTATTGCCTTCTTCCATTAATGAAAAGTATTTAATTTAAGATTTGTTCAGTTAACACTTTTCTATTTCTTTTCTCAAGGGTGTTAGTAAAGAAAACATTTGTTCTCTCCTCTTTTTTCTTTTCTTCTTCAACTACAATCACAATGATTCTTGATATTAAATTTAACAAAATCTACTTATTTATTCACTCATACAGCAAAATACATTCTTTTGATTATAATTAGTTAATTGTGTAGTGTTAGAGGACATGGCAAATGTTTAAACAAGCTACATTCCTTAGTTCCACTAGTTCAGATCTTTACAGCCATCAGGGCTGGGTTATGATCTTTTGAGGCTCCTAGGCTAAGAAAATTATGACCCCCACCCCTTCAGATGGAGCCACCCTCTTACTTGCCCACACCTGTCTTGAATATTTTTTACTTATCATATATTTGATATGATATATTTTAGTGACATACATAGCCTGAAGTAAACTTATTGCAAATTCTTTAAATAAAGTAAAATATTTATCTTTTGATTGTCAATAAAGATATTCTTTAAGAAATACCTTCACTATTTTACTATTTATTGCAAACCAAATTAACACGTTTCAACACAACTGTAGTCTATCTGGGTATAACGATAAACTACGTCCAACAGCAAGGCCTCTGATCAGGTTTTGAGGAACATGGGACCACCTCTTAATTGCTGGTGTTCCCAGGTCTACCCTGGCCTGGGGTGGTAGCGCCTGTTAGGGTCAAAGCTATGGGAAAATAGTTAACTCTGAAACTGATAAAAACACTATGAAAGTGTAAAAATAGGTTTTAAATACCAGAAATACTTTGTAAAAAAAGTTATTATCAGCAATAAATATTTGAAGAAAAAAAAATATTACCAGCAATACATTTTTGGAAAAAAAATATAACCAGCTATACATTTTTGAAAAAAATATTACCAGCTATACATTTTTGGAAAAAAATATTACCAGCAATACATTTTTTGAAGGAAAAAATTATTACCAGAAATAAATTTTTGACAAAACAAGATATTATCAGCAAAAAAACTTTGTCGGCATTAAATAACCCATCGAGGTTGATATGCCGTAAAACACAACAAACCAAACCAAACAACTGTAGTAAAAAAAAAAAAAAACAGATTTTTTATAACCAGCATTATAAAAAAAAAATCAAAATAAATATGAGCTTGTTATATTTATATCATTTCAGTTTGTTAAACTATTTAGAAGTTATAACATCTAGAAAATTAAAATCACTTTATAAAAATTTCTAAGTTTTAAACATTCTGAACTAAAATCAAACTTATGTACTTGAAACACAATAGCACAAACTAAAACATTCTTTTCCTTGCTTTTCTTCCTGCAAAGTCAAATAAATATGAGTTTGTCAGATTGATTTCATTTTAGTTTATGAAACTATTTACTCATAGAAGTTATAACATCTAGAAAATTAAAATCATTGTTTTATAAAAGGTTGAGGGGTCTTGGGCTGCAGCCTATACTAGCCTAAAGGATAATCCCCCACCATTCACCATACCGCATACACAAGGATGAATCATTCTCATTCCCTTCATATTCCATTGGCAAGAAGGAATTTCCACTCAGACAGAACCAATTTGTGGAACGAACTCCTGAGAAAATGCCTACCTGATTGCTACAATCTTAACCTCTTCAAGTCAATAGTCAACCATTATCTATCCTTCATATTCTCATAACTTCCTCCTCTTATGTCCATACAACAACTTCATTTAGTAACCATCTATCTTGAGTGGCTCTTGGGCCTTGTATTGGGTAAGCATTTAGTAAAAAGGAAAATTTATACATCTGGACTATGGTGTAGTTTTATTTTTTAATGTTTATGTAGTAATTAGAAACATTAAAATAACCATAAGATTTCTAGCCCTAATCTACAGTTAGTGTCCAGAGTAAAAATGGCGATTTATGAAAGATCATGAAAACAACTGATAATTTCTAAAAAAAAAAAAAAAAAAAATATTAAAAATAAAATATATTGTGTTCAACATGACAAACTTACCTCTTCTAACCGCATGTCTTCAAACCAGTTGCCTATTCGAACAGAAGGCTGGTATACATTTTTACCAATCATACTATGTTCGAATATTAAAATCGAAAAATAACAATAAATAAAACACAATAATTGTTTATTTTATGTTTAACTTGGAAGTCGCTAGGAAAACCATTTTATGACGCTGTCTCCATAGTAACCGTCTGCTGAACCTTTCTGTCACTAATGTAAAAAATAAGTTACAATTAAGCCTGAAATTAATAATTCTCATTTTTTAACATTTTAATTACTTCAACTAAAAAATATATCTGAAAAAAGGTAAATTATTATTATTTTTTTTTTTTTTTTTTTTTTACTTACGTCATTCACTGCAGGAAGTTTGAGTAAATACCCTTACAAAACGGTTATCCGAAACGAAACTTGAAACGAAACGAAACGAAAAGAATATAGCGTTTACACTGCGGATTTTGGTTACTGTGAAAATCCGAAATGTATGCACACACTTATATCCGCTACGGCCATCATCTTTTTTTCTAACAACAATTAGGGTTGTTTTTTTGACTTAGACAAGCATATATATGAGTTAGGAATTTAGTATAGATTTTTCTTATTTTCATTTCTTTTTATTGAGTAAGTATGCAGTTTGTTAATTTATCGTCCATTTAGTGGGGAGCGAAAGACTGGTATTACTACGTCACTGCGTGAGTGAGTGTCGTCGGCCATAGTGACTGTTTTTGTGAGAGAAAAACTCGAAAGGAGAAAGAAGAACAGTGGAGCACCTTTATCAGCCGACAGAAACCTGAACGAGCAATGTCTTCGGTGACACAGAGAAATGTTGGCCTGATACAGCGGAAAAATGTCGGGGGTTCTGAAAATTCCGACCCAGACGTCCAGAATGCCGACCATCGTCACATAGAAGAAGACGAAATCGACCACGACTCCAAAGAGACTCGTCTCACTTTAATGGAGGAAGTACTTTTGCTTGGTTTAAAAGACAGAGAGGTAATAAAATACTTACGAAAAGGAGACTTATTCTGTACTAATATATTTAAAATTAATGATCTTGGGCCTTTTTTAAAAGATTTATTTATCTATTTAAAGGATTTTAACAGCTTCTGAAAGCTCCTTAAAAAAAAAGAAAACAAACAAACAAAACAATGTTTTGTTTTCTGCTTTACTAAAAAAAAAAAGAAATAAAAATCCTCCGATTTTTTTTAACATGAAAAAGTAGAAGAAAACAAAAAAATTTATCTTTTTATTGAAAAAAAAAACAACATATCAGTAGTACATTAAAATTATTTCAAAACTTTCGAGTTTTAAATATTTAATTTAGTTATTTTAAATTGATTTCAGCCCTTTAAATTTAAATCTTAACTGAATAACTTAATTCGTTTTTCTTTCTGTATTAAATCTCTATTTGACTAAAAAGACCTGTAACTATTTCGTAGACCTACAGTTATGTCGATCAAATAAGTCTTTTTTTTCCTTGTTAAAAAGAACATTTTTTTTTTTAAATGGATCTGTTACGTGTAAAAAGAAATGACTTTATTATTTAATGACACCCACTTTTTAAATTTATTTCTTAACTTTATTATTCCAATCATCTCAAAAGTTATTTTGTCGTTTTACAATAATTCTTTATCTTCGCCGTATTATTTACAGGTATCTGGAAATGTTTCATTAAGAATACAACTAATTAATTAAAAAAAAAACAAAAAAACTGGTAATTACTAATAATAAAATTAATGTTATTTCTGATATAACTAGATTTATTTATTTTTTGCATTTTTATTTTAAGTTATGCTTTAAAATAATATTTTTATGAAAAGAGGACTTTTACTCGTTATCAAAATTGTTCGACACGTACTTTTCAATTTAAATTTTGTGCTTGTTTTTTTTATATATTTTTTTATTTTATTGCTACAAACAAAAGCTACTTTTTCTTAATTGTTTTCATTACATTATGAAACCAAACAGCTCGATCACGGAGAAACATTTAAAAATATTAAATTAGATTTTTACTATGAATATATAATTAGTTTAAAATTAAAGGCAAGTTTTATTTGCAATTCATAATGACCCATCCATGTGTGAAGATTTTATTTCAAATAATTGTGATACCTAAAAAAAAAAGTTATTCACTTTTTGTTAAGCAGTTTTTATTATTTTCATTTAAAAATCTTGTTTTCGGAACATACATTTTTTTTTATTCAGTAAATTAAATATTTAATTTGTTCTTCGTTTTATTTTTCTGTGGATTATGAAAAAATATGCCGAGCTGTTGGAAAAATAATAACAAAATCTCTTTTAAGGGCGTGTCATCCTTTCACTAACAAAAAATATTGACTTAGACTTGAAAATTCATTTGTTTACTGACAACAATCAGTAAATATTTACACATCAGTAATAGTTTTTGAGGATTTTTTTCTAGAAAATGTGTTTCTACTATTAAATAAATATCGTTAAACGAGCCTGGGTTTTCAAAAAAAGTAATTTCTATTTTAAACACTTCTCAGCATTTTTGTCACTGAGCCATATTGATTTGATTAAAAAATTCAACTTTTTTTCTCGTGTGTGTGTGTGTGCAAATATTTAATTAAACATGTATATATCTTTGTTGCCGTTTAGTTTGACAATCAAACTTGATTGGAGTAAATATGGCAAATAGTTGAGGCAAGAAACTCTTCGGAATAAACTCGACTACTTGTAATGTAAATATTGACCCATTTCAGTTTTATGGATGATCAGTGGGACTACTTTTAAAAGGAACTAAAGATCACACATTTCAAAAGTTTATCGGTTTAAACTTCTTCTTTCAGTATGTCAAATTATTATTTAAAGATTTATTAGCTTTATTACTATAGTTTGGCAATTTGCAATCCTTTGTTGAGAATATCTTCGATATTGTCTCTAAAATAGTTATATTTTTTGTCCATCCATAGTAATTGAGTACGAAATACTTCCGTTGGTACATTTTTAATAACCTGTTTCGTTTAAGATTGTTGATTTATATTTAGGTAAGGAAAAATATGAGTTGGCATATAACTCGTTGATTGGACAGTCCATAAGTTAGTGTTCTTGAAAGTGGAAAATAATAATAGTTATTGTTACTGTTATTTTTTAAACCCAGCTGGTGGCTAAAAAGTGGGGGATCAGTATATCTCTCCTTTGATCTTTTGGTTATTTCATATAAAATTTGAAGTGATGAAAGATTAAACATTTTCAAATAAATATACCGTTTATATATATAAAATAATGTCAAAAGCACCAGTGTTGTCGATTAGTGTCTCGATGAAGGTGACTAACAATTACGTATTACTCCCCCATTTCATGGTCACTTTTTAACCAGTAAATCTTAGTATTTGATTAATAAGTATAGTCAACTATAGTGTCGTCACTCGATTTTAAGGTCATTCTACTGTTGATTGGCCACATGTACATTACTACAGCATTCTTTTCAATTCATCTACCGTGATTCTATAATCAATAATGCAATTTTACTTTGTTTTTTTTTTAAATTCTCTCTATGCAAGTAAACTTCCGACATCATTTCTCATAATTGTCATCAGGATCTTGGGAAGAGGAAAAAAGTTTATAAAAAGAATTTTCTTCATTCATTCAAATAAATCGATCTCTTGTTTTCTTTTAAGTGTAAAAATTCAATCTCCTCTAAGAAGCAATATAATACAATCACGTTTGTTTACCAGAAAATAAAGTTATTTTGTGTGTGTGTGTGTGTCGCTCTCTCTCTCTCTAGTACTGTTGTCTCCTACATAAAATGTTGACACGTGTATCAGCGAATTCCCAGAGTGGAACGTTTTTTCTTTGTTTTCTTGGCTGTTTTCCTAATTTACCTGATTGGATGACCCGTCTCATTCGATAGACAATTTGGCGCAGGATGCCATAAAATCTAGCAGATAATTTGGTCGCAACGAACTCCACCAGCACTTTTACTAGCAGAGTGTTTTGAGAACCTGGGTCGGGGATGAGTAATAATTTGCACACTATTATTATTATTATTAATTTACATTTTCACAGTAAGAGGATGAACGGTAAATGAATTTCGGGGTAGGAGGCACCATCCTCCGGGTCGACGTGCCAGAACACATTGTGAATGATTTTTTTTTTTTTTTATGCTACTTGTTGATGTGAAAGATTTTAAAATTTCGTTCGGGTGTTTTAATGAACTTAATATTATTTAATAATGGGATACAATGTTGTAATAATCATTTGTCAAACTAATATTCGTTAAAAAATTGTTCACACCGGACAAAAGAATAAACACTTAAACTTAAAAAGTAACCGTAATCTTGGTAAGGCAACGAGATGTGTAATTTGTAGTTTTTCCATTTTGGTAATGCAAAAAATAAAAATAAATGAAATGTATATACGAATTTATTTAAGTATATTTCATTTGCTTCTCATTTCGGACAATCTAATATTCAGTATTAATATATCCCACTTAAATCTAGTTTCAATTTTAATTGAATTATGTCAAAAAATTGCTGGATAGTGACACTTGTGTTTAAATAACTAACAATAATTTGTAAATGGTAGTATTGAGAATGAGATGAATGCTTTCAGTGATTCTGTAGCTAATTTTTGTTAACAAATCACAATATTTTGATGGCTATTTTTTTAGCTTCAATAACAGTATATTGATAAATTTGTCAAGTATACACCCTCCTATCTATAACCCAACAACAGTAATTAAAATTCCCTTTATTGGAAATTTGAATCGGTCTGAACATGGATATTTATTTCCCTGTTAATTCCAGTATTATTAACTTCAAGAATATACTTTTTTTTTTTTTTTTTTTTTTTTTAAATTCACTTCAAGCAAAGCAATAATGCTACTAAAACTTTAAGGGACTACTGGAAATGAAAGAGAATGAGATTTTAGAAGGGACCAGAAATCCAGTCCTAAACAGGAAACAAGGGATAAATACTTGCTAATATTGCTATCATTTCAAATTTATGTAACATTTTCATAAAATTGAAAATTTGACCTGGTTTTCCAGACTTTGGTCATAGCCTCTCATCATGTCAATTCTACAAATTGTGTTGATCTAGCAGGAGATATTTTTGCTTTTTCCTCCCTCCATATTTATCATTACACAGTGGCAGAATTACATTTTTGGCTCCCTGAAATGTGAACAAATGCAGGGGCCCCTCCACAATCAACAACAATAAATTTTGAGGATCCCTATACAGCTTGGGTTTTGGGCTCTGCAATCTTCTAAGAAAATGTTGAATTTTGACCAATTACAGGAGAATTTTAAGGTTATATGAAATGTATATAAGAGAATATTTGAAGGCCAACATTAGCTACTTTAACCCATTAGCTTAGGATTCTGTCACTAAAATGACCTTATTTTAATAAGTCACCTAAAAAAAAATATTTTGTTGAAAAATTCACTCTTTAAAAAAAGTTGTTTCAGGGGACCCACTGGGATGAGTTGCTCTTGAAGCGTAAGCTTCATTAGTTTCATAATAAATCTGCCACTATCATCACTTGGTCTATATTAAATTCCCAATATTAATCAGCAATTTGATGGCTCTTGGATGTTAATTTTATTTCTTTCCCATAATTAAAATTAGATTGATGCTACTTGTTTCCTTATTCTCCTTGAAAGAAAACAAAACAGTCCGAAGTCTTGACCAATTTAGGTGAAAAAGCCTCAGCTTGTTATGACGACGGTTATTACTACTACTACTAAACTCTAGTTGGCATTGTCTTTCTTTTTTTTTTAAATTTGTATGTAAAGAGTTTTTTATTGAAGAGTCAAGAATAGTTGTCTGAAACATTTTCCCATGTTAAACTTAATTACAATTAACTTGTTTGACTCCAAAATAAGAATGTCACTTACACATAACATTCTTTGCACCAGACATCATTCCTTTGCACTGTCCAATTTTAGTTGACAAGTTTTTCAATTACTGATGACTTTATAGAAATTGATGTAATCTCTTTTCCTCTTCAATGAAGCAAGCTCACTCAA